AATAATTTTAATACTAAGATTCTAACTAAAAGCTTTTAAAAATAATTATTACAACTTAAAAATGTGCTCCAAAATCACCTGAATAAGTGCCAAGTTTTATTTCATATGAATTAGCTTCAAAAAAAAAGCACCTTTAAAAGGGAACGCATGAAGCTGAGATTTCTGATAGCTATTTGCATTAGTATGAGGCAGACCAGAAAATGCACCAAGCATTAATCACTAAATTGAGAAGTATACAAAACTTAGTAAACAAACCTTTTGTAATTTACGTGAACATTAATTGCATTTCACTAATGCTGTCCCAAGGTGTTATTAGTTACTTCAGCACCGCCACAAGTGTCTCTCACAACCCTTTTCAAACATACAAGTATTCATCTAAGTTTTGGCACTGAAAGCACTGGAGAGTTTGAAACCTGTCTAGGCGAACACTGTGAACAGCACTACCTGCTGTTAGCTTTATAACAAAACAGTGAAGCTATGTGCTTTTATAAAAAGTTGTAATGTATTTCTAAAACTTGGAGAGGCTTGATTCTGAAAATACGGCATTTTGTGCAAAATAATGCTTTTATTTTCATATAACTCGTAGGACCACATGACACTAAAGCGTTAGACTAAAGGTCTAAACACATTAGCTAGAAAGACATTCATACTCGTATGTAATTCTTCATTCCACAACACTGTTTTCAAAAACTGATGCAAATCAGATACAGAAATAATCAGTCATGCTATTGCTCCCTTTAAATCCAGTCTGGCTACAGATTTTAGAACATTTGATGAACGCAGTGGATGAATTAATCGTAAAATAATAAGATGGCACTTCCTTCAAAAGTGTAGTCCTAGATTACTCACTCAAACAGTATTAATCAAATCGTATTTATTAAATTAAAAATACAGGAAGACTTTGGGAACAGATCCTTTCTTTGGAAGGAAACACACTCACAAAGTGAAACATTAAGTTTTTGTTTCCGCATAAGCCTATGCCATAAAGAATATTTCATGGTAACATAGCAGAGAGTTGGGTTATATCTGTATTATAAGTAGAATTTCAAATTATGGTAATAACTCCTTGGTGACTCAAATATTTGTTACCAATGACATTAAAAAAAAAAATCTGCAAACCACCACTTTTTGGTGAAATTACACAAGGTGAAGGGAACAGAACTGATACATGTAAACTGGTTTCAGGCAGAATCTTTTTATATTTCTCTTCCTAACAAGCTTAAGTATAATGCATGTATCTGCCTGTTGTTCATATGTATGTATCTAGTCACATTCACATCCTTGATAATTCTGTTCATCTTTAACACTAATGACTGGCTTCTGTCAACATGTTACCCAAGTAATCTTCCTGCCTGTGTTTCTTGTTATTAACGTAACCTGTTGCTTCACTTTGTCAGCTCCGGTGCAAACAGCTGCTGGGCAAGAGCAAATGGAAGACTATCAGCAAGACACAGGGCAAGACAGAAATTAGCACAGTCCATTTCTGATGGACACATCCACAATCCCTTCTAATGGAAACCAAAGAATGGCAGATAGGATACTCAGAACAAGGTAGGAGTCCTTTAGATCATCCCACAACGGGGTCTTGCAGAGGAAATAAAGTATTAAGAAGCAACTGCTCACTGATATTTGTGTGTTTAATATGAAAAATTAGTCCTCAGAATACAAAAGGCCACTAATTTAGCATTATGCATTAATTACATGCATATATACACCACATGCAATGTCACAGGGACCTTTACCTCATGTGGTTCACCCTCCTCAATGATTGTCTCTTCAATGTAGTACTATTAAAAAAAGAGAAAAAAAATAATTGTTAGGCCAGATCATACAGAATAGCAAATTGTAGCTTCTGCTGAGCTGTTTTAAAAACACACTTCTGGAGAAATAGGACTGTAGTTCATAGGCACCTATGTAGTCACATGTGCATCCTTGGTAATTCTGAACACCTGTTCATTTTTTGCATTAATGACTGGATTTTTTTAATACCGTCCTCAATTACTCATCCTCCCAAGTAATTAGTGAAGGATCGTTATCTAATTTTACCCACAAAAGGGAAGACAATGATGACCACACTAAAAGAAAGAATCAGCATTCCAAAAACCAGGATTTTCCAAGTGTTTGGTAATAGGCTGAGAGGACTGTAGTGTTTCTTTCTCCAAGGCTGCCCTCGGAGTTGTTCCTACCTACAGATCCTTAAAGGACACCAATAATTACTGGCTGCCAGCTAGACTTTGTACTACTGATCACAATTCTGAGCTCAGCAGCCCAGTCAATTTTCTACCCACTTTATTGTCCACTTATCCATCCCACATCTCATTAATTTGGTGATAAGAAAACTATGGGAGACTGTTTCAGAGGTCTTCCTAAAGTAGTCAAGGTATGCAACATTCACTGGTATCGTATGCAACATTGACTGGTCTCCCCCTTGTCCATAGCAGCGATGAACTCATTATAAAAAGCAATGAGTTTGGTCAGCCATGATTTGCCCTTGATAAATCAATGTTCACTGCTCCCCATGACCTTCATGTCTTTCACATGTTTAGAAATAGCTTCTAAAACAATTTGCTCCATAGCCTTCCCCAGGACTGAAGTGAGGTTGACCAGCCTGTAGTTCCCTGGATTTTCCTGCTTGCCTTTCTTGAAGATGGGTATGACATCTGTCTTTCTCCAGTCGCCAGGAACATCCTTGCATCACTATGAGCTTTCAAAGATGACAGCAGCCTTGCAATGTCATCAGCCTGTTCCCTCAGCACCCCTGGATCAATCCCCTCTGGTCCCACAGAACTATGTACATCCCAGTGGGTAAAAGTCATCCCTAACTCTGTCTTCCTCTGCTGTGGCTACTACTTCACTCCCACATCTCTGCTAGGAAGCTCAGAGATGTCGAAGACCATAGGACAAGCCTTATCAAACCTGAGGCAAAAAAGGCTTCATGTACCTCAGCATTTTGCCTGTTCCTTGTCACTAGCTTCCCTGCCCACTGTACTATGGTCCCACACTCTCTTAGCTTTCCTTTTGCTGCTGATGGCACTTGCAGAAAACTTTCTTGCTGTTCTTCACTTCCCTTGCTGGCTTCAACTCCAGCTGACCTTTGCCCATGCATGTAGGAATGGAGTTTATAATGTCTTATGTCTTTATGTTCCTCCCAAGTGGCCTGCTCCTGCTTCCACTATCAGTATACTTCTTTTTTTGTGTTTGAGCTCAGTCAGGAGCTCCCTGTTCATCCATACCAGCCTTCTGCTGTGTTCAACTTCTGCACATTGGACTGAACCATTCTTGTGCTCTGAGAAAATTGTTCTTGAGGATCACCGAGCTCCCCTGGGCCCCTTTGCCCTCCAGGGCTGTTTCCCATGGGATCTTCCCAAGCAGGTCCCTGAACAGGCCCAAATCTGCTCTTCTGAAGTCTGGGATTGTAATTCTGTTTATCTTGCTCACTCCTCTCTGAATCTTCTACTCCACAGTCTCGTGGTCACTGCACCCATAGCTGCCCTTGACCTTTGCATCTTCCACTGGTTCTTTCTTGTTTGTGAGTAGCATGTCCAGCAGAGCATCTCTCCTAGTTAGTTCATCAATCGACTGCACCAAGAAATTTATCTTCAGTACTTTCCAGAAATTTCCTAGGTTGCTTGTGCCCAGCCATAGGCCCTTCCAGCAGATACCGGGGTGGTCAAAGCCATCCATAAGAACAGGGGCTCTGCCTGTGAGGCTGTCTCCACCTGCCTAAAGAACTTCTACTCTGAAGTGGCAGATCTGCAGGTGGAGCACAAACCTTCCTCCTGTTGCTGGAAACCATGAGCTTCCTGCCTTCTCCATCCTGACGGCCACCTTCCATCACCCATTTAACCAGGGTCTCCAACTGGCACTCCTTCTTGCCATGTGTGGCTCTGCCTCTTGCTTTTCATGAAGGCGCTGTCAGCCTCTTCTTCATCTTCCACGATGGCGCAAAGCCTGCTCACCTCTTCCTTCAGCAACCTGCAGTGCAACCGAGTGACCTGACCAGAACACAGCTCCCACTGGAGAGGCAACAAGGGCTATGTCCCTGCCTGCAGCGCTCTGTGGGCTTTGCTCCCCCGCTGGCAGCTTCGCTTTCCCCACAGCGGCCGGGAGCCGGAGGCGCCGGAGCCAGCTCGGACCGGAGCC